TATTTAAATAATATATGTAAACAATTTTTGATTAAAAAAAATATTAGAATATATATAATGTATGTTTACTGCATGAAATGTATAGAATTAATTATACAATTTTTAATAAATATTTTGTTAATATTTCAGAATTGTCATTTGACACCAAGCTGGATGCCAAAACTTAAATTTATGATCGAAACGTTATCATCAGAAAAAACTCATCATAACTTCCGATTGTGGTTGACGTCTGCGCCGTCGCCTGACTTTCCAATCAGTATTCTTCAAAATAGCAGCAAAATGACAATTGAATCACCCCGAGGTGTAAAGGTATTAGATATTAGCTGAATTGAAATAATCATTATTTCAATACAATCATTTTATCATTTTTACGCTTTAATAAACTTTAATAAAATATTTTTATGAATATTCATTCTATAACATTAAAAAAAACAAAGTTACGAAATATAAATTTTTGTTATGAAATAAATGCGCAAAAATAAACAAAAGTTTGTTTATTTTTACGTATTATAATTCTTCATAAAATTATCTCGTTCTTGTTTTTCATTTGTAACGTAGACCAATATGTTACGTGCATATCTGACACAAGTCACGGAAATACAAGAGTTTCTGCAATCCGATCACCTGAAAGCTCTGTCATTCAAGCGGCTTATATTCTCACTTTGCATGTTTCACTCAATCCTGATCGAGAGACGGAAATTTGGTCCCCTCGGTTTCAATATATCCTACGATTTCACAAACGGCGATTTAGCTATATGCTTGTCGCAATTGCATATATTCTTCATGGAATACAATACTTTGCCGTTTAAGGTAAAATATCGATCATAAACAAAGCGGATCTTAGTTTCAACAAACATTTTTCTGTCATTCCTATTTTAATTTTACAAACATTGCAAAATAGATAGCACATTTCAAGACTAGAAAGTTATAATATTTTAATATTCTCTTTGTCAAATGTAAAGTTACAGATTAAATATGCAAAATTTTTTTTATATTTTATATTTAAAAAGATTTATTTTGAATTGAGTCGCGTTTCTTATATAATAATTGTCATTATAAATATCTTTATAGCATAATAATATAAAATCCATAGAGTTTCATTTATTTAATTGTTAAGTTTAATGTTTTAAATTTATAACGTTAAATAAAGGCATAAATATATTAATTTTTAAATAATTATTATAATTCCGATAACAAAGGCTCTTATATATACTGCTGGGCATATCAATTATGGTGGGCGAATAACAGATGATTGGGATCGTCGATGTGTTTTGACACTTCTCGAAGACTATTACAATGCTAATGTCATTTCTCAAGATTATCAGTTTGATGAAAAAGGATTTTATCATCAGGTATACAAATTTAAATAAAACGACAACTTTTTTCTAAAAATTATCTATCCCAGATAGCCAAGTGAGATTTAGCATATGCAACAAATTGATGCACTGTATTGTTTTAACTTGTCGACAATTTGCTGTCATTGGAATCTAATGTGAACTGAGCATCAGAAGGACAAATAAATTTCATGAATTTACGAAATTGTAAAGGTATACATTGAGAAATAATAAATTCGTCACGTTGACAGCAAACTGACGGCACGCCATGCACACATGATGACAATTTGCCAGCAATTTGTTGAATTCTAAGGAAAATTTTACGTGACATCAGAATAACAGACAGTTTGTGGAAACACCTTGGCTTTAGTTTGATGAAATTGAATGCGGAATAAATGACAGCAAAATGGCAACATATTGCCCTTACTTGACTATCTGGGATGATATATTAAAATATTAAATTTTAACTTATAGCAATTTCAAAAAATACTACTTTAAAAGTATATATATTAAATATTCTACTTAGCCTAAAATATAAAGAAATATATAAGATATATTAAATCATATTTTAATATTAATAATATTAAAAATAAAAAGAAAAGAAAATAGTAATAAAACAATTTTTTTCTAAAAATTTATAATTTTACACGTAATTTAGAAAATTCAGATTTTAATATTTATTTCATAATATAGTGAGGATCTCACAGATTTTAATGATATGTATGTCATCAAGCTTATCGCCCTGAATAACAATCAAAAGATTTTATCCGTAACTCATTGTTTATTAAAAAATTATTAACAAAAAAGTTGATAATATAAAGTTATATTTAATTTCATAATTTATTATATATAAATTTTACTTAATTTAAATATTATATTATTCGCATATTTGTACATGTGTAAGCAGAAGATTTTGCTCCTTTCCCTTTCCCCAGGGGGGAAGGATCTGCATCCGAAAGATATGATCTAACCCAAACTCAATTTTAGTTCAATCAAATTCAGAAATCATGACAGTCAATTTAAGTGTGGTCAATAATATCAATGGGTAATTGAGACTAAAATTGAGTTTGGGTTAAGTTATATCTTATTGATGCAACTCAATACAGCCTCTCGTAAGAAAGAGCGAAATCTTATCCCTTAAAGTTACCCTTTACAACCCGAAAAGAAGTTTATCTCATATCCCTTATTGCTTAAAGGGCGAAATTGAAACTATAATATTGTTTTTATGTTTTCACATTTATTTATATATAAAAATTGTTTATTTAAATAAATATATATATATATATAT